CCTTCTCTATTACCTATTTCATTCCTTACTACATTTCTATTATTTGTTCTATTACCTAATTCAAAACTTCTATTATCCATTTTATTTCGTCTTATAACCGTCTCTTCTAGCCCTTGAGCCCGATGATCTATACCCTACCCAAACCGCGAAAACAAGTAGTGACGTTATCTTTTGGGCTATCTTTCCGGTGCTTGGGGCCATGCTTCTACCTTGTGTATTTCTTAAGTAGTCGGGGCCGCTAGCTCTTTGGCCAGATGAAAATTCCAAATTAACGGATGAGAGCTGCATTCTTTAAAAACGGCTCTAACTTGCTATTAGGTCTTTGCATAGGTTAATAATAAATCTGGGTCCCTCGATAGATCAAAATGTTCAATATTAAATCCGGGCTCCTAACTAGGTCAAATATATTTCATATTAAATCTAGCTCCATCCAGAAATCAAAATATTTGATATTCAAATTAAACCTCTTGAGGAAATAAAATATTTCATATTAAGCCTAAGTCTCTGCCCAGATCAAAATATTTAATATTAATATTTGCATTCCTCGAAAGATCAAAATCTTTCATAATAAACCTAGGCCCTCGAGAAATCGAAATATTTCGTATCAAATCTAATCCTCGAGCGATCCAAATTTTTGATATTAAATTTGTGCACTAGAGGGATCATTATATTTAATATTAAATCTAGGTCTCACGAGGGACCAATATATTATATTTAATATTAAGGCTAAATCTCTCGATCGAAGAGAATATTTAATATCAAATTTGGATTTCTACAACGATCAAAATCTTTTATATCAAATCTACGCCTCTGCATGAATCAAAATATTTTATCTTAAATCTAGACCTCTCGAGGGATCATCATCTTTTGAGATCAAATCTAAACCTTGCGACCTTGAAAGATTTGATATTAAATCTGGACTCCTCGAAGAATCAAAGATATTAATCCAGAGCCCTTCGAGGGATCAAAAATGAGATCTCAACTAACGAACAGAAATCAGCGATTTCTGAACTCCTAGAATCTCCCGAGAAATTCATCCCCAAATGGGAAGAAATCAATCTTCATTAAAAGAAGAATCCATATCTTCTGACTCCGTAGAATTTCCTGAGAAATTCATCCCCAAATGACAAGAAATCTAAGAAATCGGAAAATGATTCCGTTTTCAATTATCTTTAGAATCGAAAGAAATCTAGGAAAATCGAAAAATGATTCCAATGTGATTTTCCTCTAGGATAGAAATCATCGTTTTCCGAATCCCAAGAATTTCTCGAGAAATCATCGTCAAACGAAAAGAAATCTAGGAAATCTAGAAAGATTTTCAAAGAAATCATCATTTTCAGAGCCCCTAGATTCTCTACAGAAATTCATTTCCGAATGAGAGGAAATCTAAATGATTTCATTTTCAATTATCTCTAAGACCGAATTCGCCATTTTCTGAACCCATAAAATTTCCTGAGAAATTCATCCCCAAACGAAAGGGAATTCAAGAAAACCATAAAATGATTTCGTTTTCAATTAATTACTTTGAGGACCGAATTCGCTATTTTCTGAGTCCCTAAGATTTCCCGAGAAATTCATTTCCAAACGTGAAGGAATCTAGGAAAATCAATAAATAGCTCCGTTTTCAATTAGCTCGAAGAAAGGAAAAATTAGCTTTAGGAAAGAAATCGTCGTTTTCTGAGTCCCTGAATCTATGCGTTCCGCCGAGCAGCCGACAGAAAGATCATGACGACCGCTCCAGAAATAAATGAAAAGATAGAAATCTCTTCAAGATTTCTAAGAAATCTATTTAATCATTTTCATATTCGTTTGAGGGAAAAAAAATATCAAAAGATTCGACGTCCGCGCCCCAGTCGTGAAATCCCGCCACCACCCGCCACGAGTTAGACGGGAAGGAAGACGCGAAAGAAGGAAAAATAACCACGCAGCAGCGGACCCTCAAATACCAAGAATTTCCTTAGAAATTCATTACCAAACGAGAAGACTCTTTTTTTGGACGTCCGGGCGCTTCTCATAATGCCAAACGAGAAGGCTCCGTTTTCAACTTCCCCTGGAATAGAAATCGGTCGTTTTCTGAGCCCCCAGAATCTCTCAAGAAATTCATCGCCAAACGAAACGAAATCTAGGAAATTCGGAAAAAGGTTCCGCTTTCGATTGCCTCTAGGATAAAAATCCCCATTTTCTAAGCCCGTAGATTCTCTGGAGAAATTCATACCCAAACGGGAGGAAATCTAGATGATTCCGTTTTCAATTAGCTCTAGGATAGAAATTGTTGTTTTCTGAACCCCTAGAATTGCCCGAGAAATTCATCTCCAAACGGGAGTTCGCTATTCATATAGGAAATTCGCACGGCGACACAACGGGAGCGATTCGACACGCACGATCCCCGCAGAGGGTTCAACGCGAATTTTCAAAATTCGCACGGCGCCACAACGGGAACGATTCGACACGCACAATCCCCGCAAAGGATTCGCTGTTCAGGTCAGAAATTCGCACGGCGCCACAATAGGAGCGATTCGATACGCACGATCTCCGGAGAGGGTTCGACGCGAATTTTCAAAATTCGCACGGCGCCATCACGGGAGCGATGCGACGCGCACGAAACCCGCAGAGAATGCGCTCCGACGATTCCCGATGACCCTACCCCGGCGTTAAAAAAAAGAGAAAATAGAAGGCGATGTGATGGCGACGTGTGCAAATGCTGTGGCGCGGTGTAGGTGAGCGGTGTAAGTGTAGTGGTGCGTGCAGTAGCGTGCTTTATGTAAGCGATGTAAGTGCTGTGGCGTAGTATATGAGAGCGGTGCAAGTGGTGCGATGTGTGCAAATGCTGTGGCGCAGTGTAGGTGAGCGAGGTAAGTAAAGTGGTGTGTGCAAGGCGGACGCTTTTTCACGAGGAATCTTTCGCAGAGCTTTCGGCAAAAATCGTTTCTTGAAATCCTCTTGAATGGCCAATAAAATGGACCTTCTTCTTTGCTAAAAAGGTATATGCAGGGCAAATTTTTTTCTCAAATCTGAAATTTATTCTCGGCTGATTTATAAACGAGGCCTTCCTTGGCTTTAAAGAGATTTATTTTACGCCTTCGATGTTACACGGGATGCTGGGCTGATGGATGGGTCCGCTACGCGCCCAGTCATGCATTCGATAATTGTCTCTCCAACGTTGCATTTTCAGACTCAATATCTATGCGACTTGGTTTGCCCTTATTTGATGCAGATGAGGCTTGCTTGCGATGTCCTCAAGCTTCGGATCGATATGGTCACCACTGCTTGACTTGTATCATGATTGGGAAAACGGGGTTACATAATTGCATCCGTGATGAGGTTTGCCCGTTACGAACCCTGAATGCCCACCCCCAATCCCCCCACAACCCAGCTCTACTCTAGAGGGCAACGGTCGCGGCGACCATTACCCGCAGTAGGCTACGGTCGAAACGACCATAACCCAACTGCATTGCATCCCTTGACTGGCACACCCCCTGAAACTATTTAGCCACCTAACCCATTACCACCTAACCGAGGGTTTAGAGTTTAGGAATTTAACGACGAGTTTAGGGCTTGGGGATTCTAGGTATGGGGTTTAGGATTTTGCCCTGGTACACTTCTCGATTTGTGTTTGTCATGCTTGCCTGGAGGTCATGCTAATCTTCTCTGTTTCATTCCAATTTTCGCGGATGATCCCTAGATGTTTAGGGTTTAAGGATCTGGGTGCTTGGGGTTTTAAAGCAGGTGCCCGGCCTCACCATCATCGCATCGCCAAAGATGTCGCACATGACGGACACACGTTAGGGCTTAGGGTTTGGGAGTTAGGGTTTCAGGGCTGATGGTGGTATTAGGGTCTGGGACTTAGGGTTTCAGGGCTGATGGTGGTATTAGGTTTCTTTTTTAACAACCCTTCACGCCTTTTTCAGTGCAAGCTTACAGCTAGGGTGGTATCTACGCCATTACTCTCAGTACATCATGTTCAGGATGAATCACGATTACCGTCACCATTGCCCTCATTGCCCTCAAACTCCACGTGTAGATCAATGCACGTAGCTGGAACCACCAACGAAGATGGAATCAAAGACGCAGAGGAAGGTTCTGACAGTGCATGCCTACTACCAACAAAGATCAATTATGGAACAGGACGAAGTTGGTATTAGGGTTTGAGACTTAGGGTTTTCAGGGCTGATGGTGTTATTAGGGTTTGGGACTTAGGGTTTCAGGGCTGATGTTGGGTGGAGGAAACTCCTGATCCCACTGCAGCAAAGAAAAAGTATTCAAGGACACCCCTGAATAGCCTAGTTGATGAGATCTCGGGTGTCCTCGTCGGGCTGTTGGTGACCTACGTAGACGACATCCTGTACCTGAGTGAGGTGCACATTGTCAATGCCCTTCATGCCTTCGTTTTGGAGGAGTGGCCAGCAAGTGCTTTGGAATGGGTCAATGAGAAGGTCGCTGCTCGTTACTTGGGCGTTGAAATCCTCTGAACCTGAGTCCGGAAGCTTCAGCATAAGCCAAGCAGCATACAGAACAGACCTGTTGCGCGCACACAACCTACAAGATGCACACAGCACGCTGCTACCTGTTCCCAGGGAATGGGTTGAAAGGGCAGAAGCCGAGCTGGACGAGATTGAGTCCGACTTCGACGAGGAGACGCTGAAAAGTGCTCAGCGGGCCGTGGGAGAAGCGCTGTGGCTTGCGACCAAGTCCAGACCTGACATTTTGTTTGTGGTTAACCATATGTCGAGTGTGGTTTCGAAGCACCCATCGTACGTTTTGAGGGTGAGGCAGCGGGTGCTATCGTATCTAGCTGGAACGTGTAGTATGAAACTCATGCTGGGTCCCCGAAGCAGCACTCCTGGTGAAGTGGTGTGTTTCACAGATGCCTCATACGCCCCATTCGGCAGAAGATCATTTGGAGCAGCAGTGGTTACTGTAGAAGGTGCAGCAGTGGCTTGGAAGGCTGGCCGTCAAAGTTTTGTCACCCTATCGGTCATGGAGGCAGAACTTTACGCAGCCACACAAGGCTGTATCCTCCTGGAATCAATTTTTGCTGTTCTTGATGAAATATGTCCAGGGGTGTATCGCAAAGTATTGGCCATAGACAACACGTCGGCAGCGGCCATGTGTAACGGTGGCCATGGCAGCCAGCGTACCAGACATCTCAAAATTAGGGCTGCCTTCATCCGTGAGTCAGTTACTGAAGGCAGGATCACAGTGAGACACACACCAGGCGATGTGCAGCTTGCTGACTTGGCAACCAAGTTGCAGCCAAAGATGAGACTGTGGAGGCTGTTGACTCTTTGGGGCTTCATTGGGGATCGCTTGACTGGAATCATGAACTCCTTCAAGGCTACACTTCTGACTGTTGTGGTGATGCTCTCTTCCCTGGTGGTTCCAGCGACAGGTGCCAAGGTCGAAGGGAAGAAGGAGCCTTTAGCTGCGACAGGTTGGGAAGAGCTGGCTTTTCTGTTGGTTCTTTCCTGTGTAGCTGTGATTAGCATGTGGGAAGCGAGCAAGGCCGTCTTTGGCTCTTACAGGAGATGGATGAAGGGGACTCGTAAGTCTAGAAAGCTGAAGAGGGTGTCAGAGCTGGCTGCAGATGCGGCGAGGCGAGAAGTGGCCTCGCAAGCTGGCGTGAGTCTGGTTTCGGACCGCTCTTCAGATCTCAGGTTTGCCTCGGGAATGTCTTCTTCAAGCTGGAATGAGCCTCCAGAAAAAGCTGTGCTTCGCAGGAGACAAGTGAGATCGACAGCGACTTCGCCGCTTCCGGAAGCGCAGCATCAAGCAACAGCTGCGGGCAGCATGACACCACCAAGGCGGAGGGCTCCAGTTGAGGAGGAGGCCTTGCCTTCTCAAGGCGCTCAAAGCTCGGTGTCAGGAGGTCTAGAAGATCTTCAAGAAAGGGCCCGTGTCGTAAGGGATGTGCTTGCTCTTCTTACCTGCGAAGAACTTCGTGCTGGCTTGAGAGGACAGGGCTACTTGACGCCGGTGTTAAGTCAGATCTGATCGACAGGTTTTCGGCTGCTTCCTCCCCTGCATCAGGCAGAAATGAGCTGCCTGCCGCACGTCAGTTGAAATTTGTGTTGTGGTTGTGGCGTGAAAAGTCCCTCCGCTGTAAGTGCGCACTGAGGTGGACTGATATTTTTACGAAGACTGCCATCTCCCAATGGTTGTATAGGTGGAAGGATGTCCCAAGCTAGATGAGAGCTCTGGCTTGCTTGACCCAGTCATTTCCGTGACTGAAGGCTGCCCAAGAATGAATTTTGTGCTTTTGGGCGGCAGTAATTTGAAAGCGCGATGTGCCTTCCTACCGAAGGTAGGAGGCAAGGAGGAGTGTTGATTGGCTTGTGCAGTGAGGGTCAGTCAGGGCTGTCGCGCTGCATGTCAGGCTTCAAGCGTTGAGCCGTGTGTAAGCATGTAGTGTAGAGCACACACGCTATGCAGTCAAGGCAGATCAATCTTTCAGGCGAGAAAAGGCTTTAGGTTTCAGTCGCTGTGAGCGCATGGTTGCACCTGTGGGCGGTGCTGATCCCTGGCATCCAGGCAGGATGCAATCGCACAATCTTAGGCTTGGAGCTCGGCAATCTCAGGAACTCCTGGCTGACCTTAAAGCTGCCTGTACCTGAGGAAACGTGGTACTTGCCCTGCCAAAGCTGAGTGGGCCCGCTTCCTCAGAAGTGACTAGCACCACCTGCTGATTCAGAAGCTCAGCCTCCGATGTTTGAGGAACCAGACCACTCATCACCTGTTGCCTCGGGTGTTGCTGAGCCCCTCTGATGCCTTTCACAAAGGTCTGCCTGAGCTGACATCTGAGCTTTTGCCTGAGCTTGCGGTCTGAGGCATGCTTGCGCAGCTTCTGGCGATGCTCCTGAAGGCCTTTCTTGCAGCCCGCCTCCTAAGTGTTGGGTGAAGAGAACAGCCTAGCCCTGAGACAAGCGGTCTGCGAACCACTGAGCAGGGATTCTCTTGCTTCCCATGCTGAGCTTCATCTCAGCAGCCCCAGGGCTGAGCACAGAGTTCCTCAAGGCAACCTTTCTGAAGGTTTGGTCGCCAACCTAAGATGCCATTTCTCACAGCTGCTCTCAAAACCGACTGGTCTTCAGCATTCTTCTCAGACATGGCTTGCTGAGCTGAGACCACTGCTTTCACTATCTCAAGAGCGCCAAATCTGAAGACAGCATCTTTGCCAAGTGGCTGAGGCTGGCGCTGAAAGTCACGCCTGAGCTCAATGAGCTTCTTCCTCACCAGA